CCCTGCTCTCGACAGACGGCACCCCGGTTGGGAAACGCTGGTTTATACAATGAAATTTAAGACTTTTTAAGACATGCACAAAATACATATCAAACCCATACAATCTCAAAATAAATGATATAGATTAGATTATATATCAGATTAATTACTTAATGAATTTTTAAACTGAAATTAAGACTTTAAGATCACATTTTGAATGTTCAAAACACTGATGCAAGTCCCACATAGCATTGTTTTAATAAAAACATATGCATGTAAATAATTCAGTTAATCACAATGTATTGTTATATTAATTAGTGCATATTCCAGAGCAACATACATTAGTACAAAAATGATATTTTACATAGTTAAAAGCCTAAAGACATTGATATATTGATCATGTTGTAGCCCCATCGCAGAGTCCTAGTTACCAATCAAACCATCTTCAAATTAATCTGTCACAAATACATTAATGCATGAATGTCAGACCATATGAAATCACAGTTACTCACTGATGTTCCATGAAACTCATACTGCTCGTAGTCAAACAGAATCTCTCTCCTGCAAACACAAACACACTTCAGAATGTAGTTAACACACAAAAATGTGTCAGCACTGGCAACTGTAATATGAAGTGATTGTTATGTTCATAATTACTGACCTTCGAGCTTCCCATTCCCGTCTGGCCCGTTGTCGTTCTATTCTCCTTTCCAGTGCATCCTGAAGCAGTTAACATACATTAGAGGACCTGAATATAAATAATCCAGCTACTTCTAATATGTATGACATTATTATGAAACGAGCCTCATCATATCGCCTTCGTTTCCCAGAAGGATCTGCACTGCCATCACTTTCATTTCCAGAATCATCGCCAGCTTCTTCATCCTCCTCATCATCACGGAAGATGTCATCGTAGGACGGAACACCAAGGTCGTCATCCTGCTTTATCAGAAGCTTAATCTATTGCAGTTCAAATAAAGAAATTATTTATTTGACAATAAGAATATATATAACAAGATGCATTAGAGCAAATAAAATGCTGAACATTTGTACCTGTGTGTCATTATAGACATTAACCACGTCAACAGGTCGGTGTGTATCACAGATGAAGAAAACGGAGTCTTCCTCAGGCTGAAGGGTCTCCAGCAGGTCCACATTTGCTCCGCAGTTTATCAAAACAAAATACTGGTACTAGAAGAAGAAACATACAGATACAAACAACAATTTCTTCTAGATTAAACTCAAAAGCTGTGGACTACTAACCAAATAACAGTCTATACAGTTGATATATAAACTGGGTTTTAAAAATGCCAATGTAGACAGCATTTATGGCAGAGCATTAAGTGGTACCTGCTCTTTATGCTCCATAAAGGCGGTCCCCAAATCCTGCCATCCTGCCACAGGAACCAGAGTATACTGGACTTGATCACAGTGAAATAGAGCCTGGATGGAATAGACATAAACTCTAGGACTAAAAATGTTGAATACTTTTGAGCAAGTACTGCGGGATATAGTTTATTTCAAAGCAGCATGGGTTTTCAAACCACAAAAAGTGCTGGGGGACCGTGGAAAAGTATAGAGAAAACCA